AGGTGGGTATATAGCACGAAATTGGTTTTTAAATGAATTTGCAACGATGGCTTTTAGGCAAATGTAGAAGTCTCCTGGAACTTGAATGTCATCTTATCAAACAGGCGGTGCACGTACGTAATCAGTTGATTTGAATACAATGAAAAATGGTTTCTTCATGACTCAAACTTTCATCCTAAATTTTGAATAACGTCCCGTAGAAGTGGTCACTGGCTCTCCATGAGGAAAACGTGTTTCCAACATGACTGTTCCGCAGAGGCAGATGTATCAAGAAAATGGGTATAAAAGCGACTCAACGGGATCTCAGTCCACTTGACACAGCTCTCAGTCTGGTGTCTTTTTAGTAATTTTCAGCTTTTACTTTATTTGTCGAATCAGGAAACACTCGTGCGTCAAATTCCCAAAGTAAGGAGGTTTGAGTTTCAAAGCTTCTATCAGGTAACAACACAATGCGGATCGACTAGATTGTCATATGTACTAAAAGTAGGATTACGAATTAACGGTAACATTTAGAGAGATCCCAAAACTGTTTGCATAAAGGGTGATGAAGAACAGCTAGTTTTTCTAGCAGATTTCAGAAGAACCACTGCCGTAAATGAGGATGTACCCAGGGTGAATAAAGAATTGTTTTCGGCGGTGGTGTTATAACATGATCACAGAACGTTCGATAGGCATTCACAGTTTATTCACCATAGAATGCCTACAGCAAAGAAACTCTAATCGTCTTGTAAAACTTTCACCATAAAAATAACCGTTTACATTTACTATCAACTCTGTTGAAGACAAACAGATCACTCGATAGTCTAATTGAAACCTATGAACCAAAATGCCTTTGCAAAAACAGACATTTCATAAAGGTAGACGCCAACATGTAGGTTGATTTATTCTTGTGTGATAATACAAATGAAGGGGTTTTTTAAGGCACTAAGAACACAACAGATTTGTTGGTGGTGGGGTAGTCTCCGAGCTGGAAGTGTTGTTTACAGACGGTTCGTAGCCAGGTTAGGCAACATCATCAGTGCTACGTGATAACCCGTAATAATAAACTTAACCAAATGAATTGAAATGTTGAATTTTTTTTAACATATTCAAAATCCTAGCGAAAGTTTCACAGGAATTGTGTTGAGCATAATTCTCTTCGCTTTGTCGGTGACCTAAAGTATTTTTGAAGTATTCCACTTCATACCTAAAACAACCACCTTGGCTGCTACATTTATTAATGTTTTATTCAATTTTCGGACATTGTACAGTTGCATTGTTGTTTTCGCTCAGTAGGAACTTTCTTTCAACTCTTGAGCACCTACAAGTTTGTTTGTGGAACCCAGGTATGTTTCAGAACACTCATAAAAGCCGGAAACCTCATCTTTGGAAAACCCAAATTTCCGTTGTGCATTTTATACTTATTATGTTCGGTTTTCTTGCGACCTATGACAAGTTCATTCATCTTATCATGATGCAAAATAAAATCAGCAAAAGGCCTCGAATTTATTGTTCATTGGAAACAAACAACGAGCCGCTGTTGGAAACACTCATTTGACCTCACTGTCCGACTGCCTAGTGAATGTTTCAACTATACAAATAAACCACTAATTTTGGCCATCCCCATCCGTATGCTGATTAGTGGTCGATTGATCTTTTACTGCCTGAAACGATTGTGCAATAATGTAGTGTTACTGCATTTCGTAATTCAATCACGGGTTCGACTGTGTACTCACACGCTTGAGCATCTTCATTATCAAGCATACATTCTTTGTTGTGTTATCGATTGTCACCTTAACTAAGAAGCTTTTTAACGTATTCAGTACTCATGTGATATGGCTCATTCCGAATAACAAAAATAATATTCACTAGTCAATCGCAAGTAATACCGCAACCTGCAAAGGTAGGGTAAAGAGCCATTCGAAAAAGAATGTTCGCTTTCGGACTAGTATTCAAATGGTACAACGGGTTTCCTCTGGAATCCAAAGCATACCGCAGTCTGTTTACACCATTCGTGTTAGGAGTGTGTGTGAATCCATTTTATTTTTCGTCATATTAAAGGAATTCATTACGACTTTATTCATTTGTCTTCTCTAGGTAGTTACGCAGATAAAATCAACTAAATATAGTCCATTTTACTCGTTCGTCACAGGAGAGCAATGTTCACAGAACGGGAGGGGTAACGATGAAATGATCAAGGCCGCTAGTCGTTTGATGAATCTGATAATGCAAATCCCTGGACTTATTGGATTAATTAAAACTGTGAAATCAGTTCAAAACATACAAATTTACAAGACACTATAAAGCGGATTCAACCTGCATTTCATGCTTAACTTCCAGTTCCATTCATTTATTTCCAGATAAGGTGGTTTACCCTAAGCGTAACTGGTTCACCACCTGTATTTCTCTAGTATCACATTTCAAATCAGAATTAAATTTCTGACCGTATTTAGTTACCCAAAGCAACGAAAACGTATTCTGTTCTGTCTTTCTGCACAGTATGTTGAATAATTAGTTCGAATAAGGATGGTTCCAATGTGCTGAACAACTCAGTTCACAGAATTCCATTGCTACTCAGAAGCCCCCTCACTACCATTAGAACTATTCAGAAACTTCTTCAATCAAGAAATGTACCTGCGGTATAATATCTACCTTAATCGGAGCTATTTGAGGATCAATCGGATATCTTTTTGTTCTCAGTCCATCCCAAAATACTGCACATTGAATACCCTTTGTCTTCAATGTACTTCGATCTTCATGATAAAAAACCGAGCACTGTTAGACTGTCAAATGATCAGATTTGGCCCACGAAAATTACCAGTGCCTGTTCCTCACAGAAGCCGTTCCACAACAGACAGTTGAAATGCGTTTTGAATCACCCTTAGTTTCAAGGGCAAACTTCTGGAGATCTCACGAGATTTCCATAGGACAGCCATGGGAAGAAGCATTATGGAAAGGGCATATTGCAATGACAAGAATGCCAATGAGGATCATGAGAGTGATGGTAATGAACGTTTTCTTTGTTGGAGAGACAGATGGTGTTTGGGTGTTCATGTGCACTAGTCGCCAGTCTCGGCCATATAATTGAAAAAGACATGATTATCGTCATGGAATATCCAGAGAAATACAAACAAATCTATATACAATGGCAAAGAAACCAAGAGCATCTGACGTGGTTAAAGAGGTATGAGAAAAAGGATATTGGTTGCTGAAAAGATGTGTATGTGTCGAGGATTGACCAAAACAGAAGTGGCCGAGAGAAAAAAGTCTGTACTAGAACGAACGTATTTGAGACGGAAGGTGAATATCTAGTTACAATAACATTAACAGCGAAAGTAGTAACAATGGAAAGGGGTAAAAGCGATCAGGATTCTGAACAGAAAGAAAACAATGACCGCGGACTCAGGTCATAAACCTGAGTTGGGTTTTGGTGGTGGCGGTAGTAATAGTAAAATATGCTGGTGGTGTCTGACAGGCTTAGGACACAANGCCGAGACGATTGAAAAAAGCCACTTATTGACAATTTTTGAAAGTAAAAAGTAGATGGCGGTCATGAATTACTGATGTGTAGCTCGATTCAGATTCAGTTGGAATCTAAATTTTTACTGTTCGATTACATGACAAATAAGTTCAGGTGATGTGCCTCTGATCAATGGATTGGTGCTTCTACATTTATTCTCAAGCTGCGTGCCTTTATTTAGAGTAAAACTGGTGCAAGAATGATTAAAGTATCGTTCATCTCATAATTAAAAAAGAACCACATGGAGTCAGAGTGAAAAGTTGCAAAGGAAAAATAAAGACCGAATTCACTTTGAGATGGATGAAAACACTTGTTTGTCATGGTATGACTGAAGATGGAAAGTTTCGTTGCAATACATATGTGGTTTCACGCACATTTGTAGTGTGATTAGGTGTCCACTTGAATTTTCTATTGGATGACTTATTGATACAGAGATAACAGAGTAAAAGCTGAATTGTGATCCGTGATCTGATAAAAAACTGCATGATTTTACCCGAACCAGGCGCTTCAAACATCCGGTAGGGACATTTCAAGTAGAACAGTTGTGTGTTACAAGTCTTGAGTCTCGGGATTTCTATCGGAAAGAAAAATGATAAAATCAGGTATCTGTTGAGAGTTGGAGTGCGAGAACATAAGATGAGTTGACTCAAGTCATGGTGGCTCCAGAACGGAATGGGTTCTTCCACAATTACATTTGAAAAGTTGTATCAGCGGGTCAGAAAAAATGAAACGGTTAGAGGAGAGAGTGAATGAAGTGGATTTACAAAAGACCACAGTCCAAAGGTAAAAACAAAGAGGTTCATTTAGTTTGAAAGAAAAAAAGACTAAGTGACACATTCATACCGATCAACAAGAGAAATTTTTCCCCAAAAGAAGACTGAAGGCCATCATCAAAAACGATGATCCTTTCTGACAGACATACTCTCTTTCTTAATGTGTTGTTTGAAGTAGTTAAAATCATAATCGGTAAATTATGGGGGGAATGGAAACAGTCCTGTATACGAATGGGCTTTGAATAGATATGATCGATCAGATACAATCATAGATCACATAGAATTCAGGAGCGATCCAATAGATTTTTGTATCCAAATAGTGTCCCCACCGGTGTTTATCTGATGTCTGTGCACAAGTCAGTTTATCTCCCTTGCACAAACACACAGAGGCGAACACAAGATATGATGTACGCGGAAGGAGCATCACGAGGAAATGAAAAGGCCTGATTTGCGTGTGTACTCTTCTCTGTGGGCATGTGTTGGAAACTGGATTTTCGCAATTGATCAGATTCCTTGTAAACAGCCCATTCTAATGACGACAGTCATAAGTCGTCGCATCTGAGAATATATAACTTATCACAAGTCGGTGAGGGGAAGACAGGGTATGATAGATCGCTCAGGGAGGTATTTGCCGCCGAAGCTCACAAAATTATGAGATATTCAACTGAAACAGTGGCAAACAATTCTGGATGTGACATTCCGCAATGCAAAAGATTGCTAAACGTTTATCAACGAGTCAACCGGTAGATGTGATGCTGCGCTCCGTGGCCTTCTTGGGCTACCTCCAGAACATACGCGATGCACAGAAGCAACTCATCTGTCGTTTTATTGGTCACAATCTATGATGAATAAAGTAATGTGGATAAGTTTAGTCCATAATAAATATCATGTGAACAGATAATATCTTTGAATGGAAATGATGAAACAGTGTCAAATGGTTTTTAGAAATATGTTGTAAATAGCAGCCAATGTTCAATAAATGTCTGGCCTCAATAACTTTGGGTACTTTAATTTTCCGTTATGACACAAATTTCGCCCAGAACGTAGTGAGTTATATTGCTTCATTGTATTTTGAACATTCTTTCGGATTTTCTTATACTAAATGCTTTCATGAAGTAAAATATTCATCTTTCTTGCTGTACACGTTTTACATTATTTTAAGACGTAAGGAGCCGACGGAGCACGTTGCATGATTACCTACATGATAGAGTACTAGTTAGGGTGGGTTACTCGAAAGGATTAACTGCGCACCTTTATCTTGTACACATTACCAATCTCACCAAACAGATACTTTAAGTTTTGCAAATTGTGCCAAAGTCAGCTCCATTCATCGTGTAAAAATCCTCAAGTGCACTGGGAACACGAGTCGTTACTTCAGATTTTGCGAATGTGTGAAACATCCAGAGAAATTATTTCGCCACAGCTCTTCACAGTGAATGAGAATCATTCAATAATTCTTTGTTTTCCATCTTACTGTCCGTGAAAAAGGAGCATTTTCAGTGGGAGTTGAGTAAGGTTTCATAGGATGTAGCGTTGCACTGAGTTGGCGTTCAGTGCCAGATATTCTAGAATAGAGATATCTATATTACCAGCATAAATACGTTCATTACAGTACATCAATCTTTCTATTTTCAGTCTAGCTTTTTTTTTGTATAGGCACTAACTGCAGCCTGCACTTCTGTGACTGTAATTTAGCTGTTATCATTCGGTCAATGAAGAACAGAATAAGGTTGCAAAGGTTGAGTTACTCAAAATGGAAATGAACTAGGTGTGTGTGTGTGTGTGAAACGTGAAGTGACGCACTGGTGTCATCGTTCATGGGACTTAACACTATCATCGGGTGTCTCTTTATGTCGTCCAAGAAACAGAATACTAATATTAAGAAGCAATCAATGAAGGTATATAGTTTGAAGTTGTAAGGACCCAAACATACTTGCCGGCGACAATTAGGACAGTAAACAACTTTTTTCTCTCTGTCATTCAATGATCCCTTGGCGATTGTCTGTACCAATAAGTGATGCAGACTGCTAATCATGTGACAGATACGCTGAGTCATCAATCATATGATGATCGGTAGTTATATTGTTGCTAAGTTTCAAACTTTCCTAGCTACACAGGTAATGGAGTAGGTAAATGGGATGAAGAAAGTCCGAACCGGATGTCCAAACTACTTAGTACTTTTTAGATTAGACCTCAAAAGCAGATAAGGATCAACAATTTGCAGAGCCATAAACAGTTAGTATCCAAAGAGCAATCGCTGAAAGGCGCGCAACGATCAAAGAATATCAATCTGTCCAAATGATTTTCGCACTGTTAAAAGGAAGATTCATAAGTTACCAAGTAACGTTCTATGTGTTATTTAATGAGATCAGTATCGCATGCGTCCGCGACCATCCGTCGTCTTACAAACCGAAAGTCTGTGGAAGCGTGCTTGCGACCAACTGTGCTATGAAAACACCGGCATCCGTAGAGATATTATTAACGTGTAAGAAAGCAAGCATACACGAATGAACTCACATGAAGAATTGTGAAATTTTCCAACACTGAGTTCATTGTGTCCCGATTGGGTAGTTTAACAAATAGTTGGATGAATCGACGCATGTAATCACACATTGGACTGTGCAAAAATCGATACACATATCGTCCATTCTCAGGTCGCGGTGTACCCTCCTGTGTTTGGAAGAAAATGAAAGGTGAAATTTTAAAGCAACCATTCTTGGAATGTTTGAACTTCGATAGGATTTTTATCTTCACTCAACAAGGGCATTCGCTATTTGTTCCGTAAGCGGCAAATGATTATATTCAGATGTCATAGAAACAACAGCAAGTAATCACGGGTTTTCAAACAGCAAGGTGTAAAAGCTGTGAGAAAACTGTTATGAACACAATTGACTAAAGAATGGTAATTATAGATAGATGGTATAAGGAGAAGAGTACTACTTTAGTATTTCACATATACCTCGATACCAATACTGGCAGCAAATTAACTGGCACAGAGAAGCGGCGAATAAAAGAAAAATAAAATAGATACCACAAATATAAGAAGAATTACCTCGATTTTCTCCACTTGTTCCTTTCCAAATGAGCAAATTTTTGTAGAAAGATTGATTGGAACATTTTCTAAGCCCTCGAATCTACAGCAAAAATAAAAGAAAAATGAGACTCATGGTCCCCGTAAAAAACAGAATTTGATAGTCTATTAGTAATTCCCCAGAGCTGGTGTGTATCCCTATAATGTTTACTAACCACCTGAATTGTGTTTTTTATTAGTAGATTAAAAAAATCGCGGTATAAGGGGCAATCAATGAAATATCAGTGAATACAAGTATGGGTAGATGAAAAAATCCACGTACCAAACGCATGGATTTTAAAAAGAATGAGTGCTGGGATAACAACTGGAAAGTGTTAAAACTTTGAAGTTTTGGCAGTTTAGGACCAAAGAATGAATTTCGAGAGGTGAGAAGAGTGTTTGTGGCATATTACAGTAAACGTATTCATATCGATAAATATTAGTAGGAAGGTTTGAAAAGTAAGATTTTTGCTTAAACGTTTCGTTAGCTCTACAAATAAAAATTTATCTCTTTCTACACCCTCAGGGCTATAACTGAGAGTAAACAGTGAGGCATTTTTGGTAAGTAAAGTAAAAAATAAGTAAGTAACTAAAAAATATTGGTAGAATGCTTACAAGAAACGAAATACGCATTGATTTTTACTGATAGGTATCCGCTACAGTATTTTGATTGCTGATTACCTTGTATAGATATTAATCGCCTGAAATGGTGTACATTTCACTTGGACGTTTTGTCCAGTCAAACAATGAGACCTAATTTAGTGCACAGAGCGCGAACTACCTAATGCATGCAAACAAGGGTTGATTTGGTACGTCTAATTTTAATATTGCTCTACATTTAATTTCTGATCCAATTTCATTCTTGGTTCATAGTTCAATTATTCACAATGCTTGCAATAGTCCTCATAATTTTTAGATATTTCTGTCATTTGCGAGTTGTGTACATCTAAGCATGATCAGGGGGTTGCATTTTATCAAGCCCATGTAGAAGTAACTCGCACATCATGCTTCAATTTCGTTCAGTAGATGACCGACCATTCAAACGCCAATGAGTATACCATGTAATTAAAGGTCAGATTTCTATGAACTGATAACCCTGATCGAGTGTACGATCAGAATGCCTGTAAACCGCTGGAAATGTGAGTGACTGAGAGAATTCAGCCACGTGAGCAACGAGATGCACGTTTTGGTCGGTCAACTGGAGCAGAATTAAGAACTCTGTAAAACAATCTCATGCATGTAGTTCTCATGAAGAGATCAATTTTGTCAAGTCGGTTATTAGTAAAACCTGAGGTTGTCGTTCATTTTTTACTAAATGCATACATCATCTCAATCAACATTATGTTGGTGATATGTCGAATTTAGCAACACAGAAACATAGCCACGCTGAGGTTAGGTAAAGTTTCCAGTGAAAAAAACAATCGTAAGAATAAACCTGGTAACAAAATACGGAGAAAGAGAATCAACGGGTTTCCTTTATCTGGACAATTCCGTTAATAGGCTCCTAGCCACAGAGTATTGACGAGTATTGTGAGTGATCACAATACAGAACTTTCAAACACGTGAACCGTCGACGGGAGTTAAGTGATCGATCATGATCATATGATCCATATGCAACTCTGCACGGCAACTAATGCCGGAAGTCAGTGTGAAAACGACGTTGATACGCCTAGTTGAAAATCTAAAGGTATAATTTGACATGTATAAATGAATAAACCTATACAAATCAGTTCTGCGCTACGTAAACGGGGGTCAAGATTTGCTTCAATGATTCTAACGATTGGCTAAAAGTGATGGCTAGACGTCGTTTTCAAACTTCCTTGAATAAGATTGAAACTAGTCCGATAAAATTACCCGGGATACAAGTATGTAACTGAACTGGATAAATGTGGCGAATTACACTGGATAACCACATGTCCCACCGGACAATTTTCTTAACTCAATCGCATGTGTGTAAGTGAATTCGATCGGGAAGAGCATTCGCTAATTACACATAACAGTCCAAAGGTCACAAGTTATCGGACTCACATAGCAGAAACTGCCAGAGTTGCTTCCGGATCTAATCGGACGTTGAGATCCGCCTAAAATTTAGGAAGACAGACGGGGAACCGTTTTAGTTAAAAAAAGCACCAAAGAGGCCAGTGGACGCACCAGAAAACTTCAACCACAAACGCTGCACGGGTACAACACCAATTGTCGAACGTGAAGGGTGACATCGTAAAATAATAGTTCATGCAAGACAACAATAATAAACCGTGGTCCAATGGGCTCACTTTGTGTCTCTTGAGGCATCACAATATGACAATATTTATCACCTGTAACAAAGATTGATTTTGGCAACATGGAGTAACTTTTGAACAAGCAGTGCGTGGTACGTTTGATAATTCGTTAGTTCAAGCCACTCATAGATATCGCCTGGTTCAGTGAAGGGAAACAATTCCATTCAGCCTCAAGACAGTTGCATTGTCAACAACAAGCCACTGTCCATTTAAGACACTCTTGTTTTCAATTATACTAAACTAATCCCATTTCGCCTG